CCCTGTACAGGCAGTCCCCAAGTTACAAACATCTAACTTCAATACAACTCACACTTACAAACAGGAGCTATTATAGTAAATCCCCAAATTACAAACATCCAACTCACACTTACAGAGGCTATTACGCTAAGTCCCCAAGTTACAAATAGCCGACTGACATATGACTCACGCTTGTGAATGGAGGCGATTACAGATAAAAGGTAAACATACCTGTTTGATCTTATATACAAATTTGACATAAGAACAAATCTATAGAACCTGTCTTATTCATAACCCAGGGGTTGCCTATTATGGGAAGGTTAAAAGCAAACATTTATAGGACTCCTTAGTGAACCGAGGTCCACGCATTTAATGAACACCCCCAGACAGCCCCTGTACTTTTTTGTTCAGAAAAACAGATTTACAGGTGTGAACTGGAAGACAGCTTTCAAAACTTCTGACTCAGTAACCTTTGGGGGCGTAGAGGGGGACACACTTGCCATTTTTCTTTAGTAAATATCGGGAGAAGGAAGTAAAGTATCCACCATGAAAATCATTTGCGCTTTTTGCCTATTAAATCTGAGTGCTTGATCACCTCTATGGCTTATCTTACAAGGGTACAAGTGAATCTTTCTGAAAGTAGAATATAAAGGTCTTAACACAATAAGAAAAAGACATAAAGGCTATGTTAACCAGTTTGATGAAAATATTTCAAATTGTATATGAAAACACCACACTGTACCCCATGATTGCATTAATGTACACAGCTATCGTTTAATAAAAAAAAATAATAAAAATAAATAAATAAATCTGAGTGCTCGGTAGACGTGTAGCTCTTATTTCACCTCCAAAAGGTATATGTAAATTTCTGTCCTTCTTTTGGATTCTACTTGGCGTTAACAGCAAGAACCACTGAATCAATGGATAAACTTGGTAGCAAGGAAAGGTATTTATTAAGACTCATTAAATAAGCAAAGGTGGTAAAACAAAATAGACCTAAATTGGCTCAGCGCCTGTGGCTCAAGTGGCTAAGGCGCCAGCCACATACACCTAAGGTGGTGGGTTTGAATCCCCAGCCCGGGCCCACCAAACAACAATGACGGCTGCAACCAAAACAATAGCCAGGCATTGTGGCGGGCACCTGTGGTCCCAGCTACTTGGGAGGTGGAGGCAGGAGACTCGCTTGAGCCCAAAAGTTGGAGGTTGCTGTGAGCTGTGAGGCCCACAGTCACTCTACCCAGGGGGACAGCTTAAGGCTCTGTCTCAAAAAAAAAAAAAAAAAAAAAAACTAAATTACTTATCATTATAAATGTGCCTGAATTTATGCAGGGGGTAGCGTTCCAAAAACTAAATACGTATTACATGTTTTTCTTGTCTTTAATTGGTTATTCAATGGAACCCTGGAGTAAATGCTAAGAGCAGAATTTTGTGTTAGTGAGAATTTGGGGAACCCTAATTTATCTGTTTCTAAACCTCTGCTCTGGTCAAGTTGTCTGAAAGCAAAGACACGTCCATGTCAGGAGAATTTGATAACTAATTCCTGTTCCTCAGGTGTCTCCTTGAGCACTGAGGTAAAGACACACCAAGGCCAAGTCTAGGAGGCACAAAGACAACCAGCCAACACAAAGAAAATCAGTGGAGCCACCTTTCATTATCCTGTAGATCTTTCCCTAATACAAACAATAAGAGGTAACTGTCCAGTTTATTCAAACAATGTTCATTTTATTACATAGTTTCATTTGTCTTAAGGAACAAGTTCAATGAAATCAATTTGGGGCATTGTCCAAATTATTTAATAAATTGGCTGCCAGGTTTATCTACCAGCGGTGTTTGCATTGTGCAAGCCCAGAGATGAATACCTAAATAACCAGGCAAATCACCTTAGACCAGTAGTTGGCAAACATTTTCTATAACGGGCCAGACAGTAAATATTTTAGGCTTTTTGTGCCATACAGTCTCTGTCACAACTACTCAACTCTGCCGTTACAGCAAAAGCAGCCCTAGACAATACATAAATGAACAGACACGGCTGTTTCAATAAAACTTTATTTACAAAAACAGGCAGCAGGCCTGATTTGGCACATAGGTTCGCAGACCCCTGTTTTCAATATTCTATCAATATTGGAAAATTTTTCAATATTCTATCAAGCAATAATATTTTGATCATGACTTTATAACTATTTTAATCCAAGTGTGGAAAATGATGTACAGGAGGGAATTTGGCATAACCCTGATCTCTCAAAATGGGTTATGATGGGAGATGCCCAGAAGGGAAGCTACTAACTGACCACTACTAGTCCTTATCAGAGAACTTGATATCACTTAACCTACATTCTCCGCTTTCCTTCTCACAGAACCCTTGTGAGGCAGGGGTTAGAATCTCCATGTTCCAGATTTTTAAGAGTGGGGTAAGATGACATAACTAAGTTGCAGAGCCAACTTTCAAACCCAGACCTGTCTCATTCCAGTGCTCACACTGTTTCCCCTGCAGTTACTAGCTGGGGTGGGGGGTAGTTATTCACATTTCCTGCAGGACCAAATGCAGACCCCAAGGAGAGACTCTGCAGGTGAAATTATTTGTTTCTGTTTGTCCAGTTGGCCCATCAAGCAAATCTCAAATCCAAGGTTAGGGCTGAAGATTTCCACTTATGTGCCAGCGGTTCTGAACTCTGTCACCCGATTCTCTGGCTTTAACCAGAAGCCCATGTTCATAAGCAGTCCACAAATGAGGGTCATGGGCCCGGTAGGGAGGCGGCAACATTCACAAAGAGAATGTTTTCTTAACCCTTTCCAGAACCTCCTAGTACAGTCATTTCAGCTCATGCCTCGAGGGTGTTTTCTGAAAAAAGAAAGTGCCCTTTCAGCACTCTTGGTGTCTGATTTCAGACCCTGCCCTTCCACTCCGTGCTAGTGATGTTGCCCTGCTTTTACTGGTTTTCCCACGGAGTTTAGTCACCAGGTGCTCTCAGGCCTACATCCCTGGGCCCGGGGTAAGGGGTTGGGTCCAGTGCCCGTAACCTCTCCTAATTTCCCTTACGGCTCCAAAGGACAATAAAAGAAAAATTAAGTTCATGTTCATACGACTATGTGGAAACATTCACCCCAGTTATTCCACTGATGAGATTGCAAGGTGAGCTCCCTCGTGATGGATTTTGCTAGACCAGGCTGATTCCAGGGTGTGAGCAGGAAGCTTGCCCTCCAGACTCCTCTTTTTTTTTTTGCAGTTTTTGGTTGTCTGGGGCTGGGTTTGAACCACCACCTCCAGCATATGGGGCCAGCGCCCTACTCCTTTGAGCCACAGGCGCCACAGGCGCCACTCCAGCCTCCTCTTTTTAAAAACTGCAAATCACTTAGGAGCCATTCGAGATGAAAAAATGTAGTACCTGATTGAGAGGGAAGAGGATGGCAGCTAGCGTGCACTCAGATGCTGATGTAGAATTAGAGCTATGAACAGCATCTCAGCCGTACCTTACTTACTAAGGGTAGGTCTGAGGAATGGGTATTATTTTTTACTCTCATTTTACAGATAAGAAATCTAAGGATCGAAAAAAAAAAAAGGATAGTGATTTGCTCATAAAAGGTAGGAGCTAAAGTTCCCTCCAAGAACTCACTCAAAACTTAAATGATTCTGCTTTAAGTGAAAGGGTATATAGATGCCTCAGAGCTCCCAGTAAAGAAATTAAGGCCCACCTACCCTCACCCACAACAGGGTTGGATGCCATTACACTGCCCCCCATCCTGAAGGAGTTGCATGCCATCCACACTAGAACATTTCTAATTATCTTTGAAGGAGTCCGTAACTCTCAAATTCAAGTGAAAGTCATTTCTTTTTATTTAAAAAAAAAAAAACTGTATCTACCAATATCAAACAATCATGGGGCTTCACAGTCTGAGAAATTTGGAAATCACTCTTCTGTATTACACATGAACAAACTCAATTCCAGAAAATCTATGTAAGAGATAAAGGAAAAAGTGAAATAGTGATAAAATGACATTTTAATCAGTGAAGTTACGTTTTCAGAACTTTAAAGCATCCAACAAAATATCTTAGTATAAAATAAAAAACACTGTCTAATTTATCTTTGTAAATCTAGATTCTCTTATACTAAGCTTGCTTGAGGTAGGGTGTACCAGGATTAATTAAAAATCTTTTTAAAGATCTAAGAACCTCTGCAAGAAAGATACAGCAAAATTTTTTTGGTAATACTTCTTGCTTGAGGAAGTATAGAACTGAAATTAGGTTCAATTCTCATGAAACCATTGACTTGACTTTGTTTACCCTGTGAAAGGAACACTGTAAATAATCTCTGTAGAATTTCAATGAGTAACACTTCTCTGCTCAGCCCACATAAAAGAAAATAAAGTTCACAGTAGTTCCACCCAACTCCAGGAATAAAAATCAAGGTCAAAGATAAACCCACTGCCCCCTTGCAGTGAGATGCACAAATCTTGCCTTAGAAGGGGAGAAAGAAGTGACCACAGGCAGGACAGCGAAGCCAGTGAAGACTGCTCCCCCAAACCAGGTCTCCCCCGTGTCCCAGTTCATCCACGGAACCAAATTTGCCTCTGGCGGAAAGCTAAGTAACTCAGCAAGAAACAGGCCCGTGGAGGGCAGGCTGAAAAGTAACCGCTTATGAAAATAAAGCCCCTCGGGCAGAGAGTGCACAGCTTTCCCCTCCCACCCCAAGCCCAGATCTCATCTGGCTTTTATTCTGTGAATCATAAGCTGCCCTTTCTCCACCACAGTGATTCATGCACAGAAGCAGAGTTACAATGAGCTGTCCCACCTTGGAACACTAGTTCGTTTCCCTCCTGGCTGGAAAATCAGCATCACGGCTGACAGGCTGGTTTCTCCACCAGGCTCCAGCTCGCCCACTCTGTGGTCCTGGACCCATCCCCCACGGCCCCTGCCTCCTGCACCACTGCCACCGTCAGCTAGCTCCCTGCTCCCAGGCCAAGTGCCGTGTCCCAGCCCCTGCCCGTGTGAACTTGGCTCTGACAGACACAGCCAAACCACTTACGTTTTTGCCAGAGCATGGCCTGCGACAGGATGTTGCCTTTTCTCTTTGAAGCAGACAGTTTGGCTCTTTACTGTGACACGGGGTGTGCTTTCCTCCAGGGGAGCCACCACGCACACTGAGGCTGTTTCCTGGGCTTTTAAAGGCCCGAGTTCCCGCTGCGTGGGGACGTCATCACATCCTCCCACCTCGGCACGGGGGCGCTTTTCTTCAGCAAGGCCGCCTGTCACCCCACTGTGTGCACCGCAGAGGGCCACCGGCTGCAAGGCGCTTCACGCATGGAGCCAGCCAGCTGGATCCAGACAACAACATGGCACAGAGGGCCACAGTCATTTGCACAGGGACCTGCAGCATGACGCGCCAAGTGTACGGGTGTAGCTGTGTGGGCCCCTGTCGAGCCTTGAACCTCCCCACACCAACAACCAGCCCAAGAGCCCTTTTGGAAAATGCTGGGCTCTCTATTGCGCCTCTTTGGGCTTCCACAGGACCAGGACATTGGTGGGACTCAGCCTGCCATGGGCCCCACTCAGCGGAAAATGCAATTCCCAAGGGTCACTGGTTCTCAACACAGAGGAAGCACCTGCCGTCTCTTCAAGCCTCACTAAACAACCTCCTCGTTCTTTTAATATTGCTTTTCTGTTTATTTCATTTTGAAACACAACAGTCCCTCCTCTTGCCCGCAGCCACCACCCAAACGGCAAGGCTTAATCATGCTTAGATATGGGGGACTCTGGGTTTGATGGCCCATAGGACCAGGGAAAACGAAGCAGCTCGCTCAGGAAGAAGATGCCGTACTCTTTAACTAGAGTTCGTCCCTCAAAGAAGACTTGCAGGCACAGTAGTGTGAGCAGGGCCTCTCTCCAAGTGCCCAGCCACCTGACAACAGGAAGCTTCTCAAAGCAAAAGGAATGGAGGTCACCACCTGGAAGGGGGTGGGTATTAAGCTACAGGCTCCTTCCCAGTTTGGAAGTCTCCCCCACTGTGCATCTGACATCTAAATGCTCTGGCTTTGGGGACCCAATCAGGTTGGGGTCAAGACCACTTGGCTAGGGCCACCACCACCACCACCCCGCCCCACCAAGGGCACATCTGGGCCTTGCTGCTCTGCCCTTCACATGGTCTCAGCTCAATCTTGCACAGTCTACATCTGATCTACTATTCTCCAGTTTAAAAAGCCTTCACCACCTCCCTTCACCCTCAGAGCAGGAGGCATGTGAGACTCCCACAGTCCAGCCCTGACTTTCCTTCCCAGCCTCTCTGCCCACTGCCCTCCTACCCCAGGGCTGTCCAAGCACCACTGTACATCTGTACAATTCCTTGCCTCTGACCTTGCCGGCCTCTCTTACTGGGTTCTTCTCCCCACTTCCCCACCCCAAAATCACTTCTCCATTTTTCAAGATCCAGCTCAAATTGTACCTTTTCTTGTGAAAAATATTCTGACTCACCAAACCTCCTAGCCCAGAAAATACTTGTCTGACTTTTCTCAGCCATTGGAGCCCTTTGCCTGTTCATTATATGACAATGAGATTGTTGCCTGGCTCTGGAGGTTCCTCATGTGTCTCTCCAGGGCCTCACACAGGACCTAGAGCCTTCTGAGGCCCAATAAAAACCCACTTGGTGAAGTTATGAATTACTGTCTTTAATAGGTTGTTGGTTTGAGGAAAGGTCTATTGTCCTCATAAACATTGCACTCACGAGACAGAGAAGGCTATCTTCTGGCTGGTTATGGGGCCTCACCCAAAGCCTCTGAATTTCAGGGCAGCGGCAGGCCCTGTGGTGTCATGGCAGTACCAAACCCGGGCTGACACGGAGCAGCGCCACAAAGCCTTGGGCCTCCCTGAGAAGCTTCCACTGCTAACTGTCTCCTTAGGCCCAGCTAGGAGACAGGGTTTTCATCAAGGCTACGACACGCATCACTATGTCCCCTTAAATGAGTCTTGTAAGTCTTCTAGTCTCAGTTTCCTTGTTTATAAAGTGAAGAAGCAGTTCTCTGAATGTCTCACAGGTTCTTAGCAGGCTACGTGGCCCCGCTGGTTCTCTCTCGCGTTGCTCTGTATCTTGGTTATTTGTCTGACTTTCTCCAAATCTACGAAATTAAGAACTTTTCTTATTCTCTATCTCTCCCACAGGACTAGCGTCACAATTTCTACGAAGCAACAACTACTTACAATCCACCAAGCTCCACGTTAAGCCTTAAACACATTCTCTAGTCACCACAACTCTGGGAGGAAATTTCTATTTGTATTATTCAAAGAATCAAACAAATGATGAGGAAATTTAATTTGCCTAATATCACCAGGCTGTTACATGATAGATTGGGTGTCAGACTCAAGTTCATCTGACAAGGGCGAGAGCTCTAAATAATTACACTCATAGATATTCATTAAGTTGAATATCTATTACTCAAATGAATAACAGAAAGTGAAAGGCAAATGTCAGCCATGTTTAGTAGTAGTGATACAGCTCACTATTATTAAAAACCTGGGGCTCGGCGCCTGTGGCTCAAGCGGCTAAGGCACCAGCCACATACACCTAAGGTGGCAGGTTCGAATCCCCAGCCCGGGCCTGCCAAACAACAATAATGGCTGCAACCAAAAAATGGCCGGGCGTTGTGGCAGGTGCCTGTGGTCCCAGCTACTTGGGAGGCTGAGGCAGGAGACTCGCTTGAGCCCAGGAGTTGGAGGTTGCTGTGAGCTGTGATGCCATGGCACTCTACCCAGGGGGATAGCTTGAGGCTCTGTCTCAAAAAAAAAAAAAAAAAAAAAAAAAACCTGGAGCAGATCAACAGAAGCTTAAATACCCTGGGATACATCCCTGTCCCCTGGGGAAAAGGACCTAGAGGTGCTCTGACAAATCAGAGCTCATACAGTGGACAGCCCACCACCATGGCCAGTGACAAACCCTACCCCCTCTAATGTCCTCAAAGCTCACAAGACAGATCCCAACTCAGTACTTCCAGTAAAGACCCTCTGTATAGATGACCACATGTGGGCAGGTGTTTTGGAACTAAGACTTGGTCAAAAGAGCAAATATTTTCTGAAAAAAATTTTTTTATAACTCAGAATCAAAAGTCAAATGGCATGGACATAGTTTGGAAGAAGTGGCCATGTTTTGTTTTGTTTTGTTTTGTTTGCAGTTTTTGGCCAGGGCTGGGTTTGAACCCACCACCTCCAGCATATGGGGCCGGTGCCCTACTCCTTTGAGCCACAGGCACCGCCCCAGAAGTGGCCATGTTTATGCAATAACTCTAGAAGTGAAAGAAAATTTAAAAAATCCTGTGAATAGCGTCTAGATGTCTCCAAAGACAAGTGCCATCAGATGTATAAAGAATTTGGTATAGCAAAATCAAAACTGCTAAAATAATTTATCAAAGAGCGCTTGTTCATATCGCAAAGGAAATTTTAGCCTTGCAAAAAGATTCACTACAGACTCCCTTTATTCCTTCATCTAACAAATATTTACTGACTGTTCATTATTTGCCATCTGCTAGTCTTTTAATTTTTCTCTTGTCTTGGACTTTGATCATCTTTTTCATCCATGGTACTTTGCCATCCTTTATCCGTGATAGGCCCCTCTCTCATTCATCCATATTTGTTCAATAATCCACTCACTCATCCACTTCCCCCTCGTTTTCCATGCCTATTATTTTTCCCGTCCCTTCTCACCCCTGTCACACCATCACCATTCCAATTAAGGCGGCTGTTTTCACTGGCTGATGTCAATCAGTCCTCTTCTTTGTGACATTTGTACATGTTCTTACAATGTATTGTTTTGCATGTATATATTTTTAATTCACGTAGGTGATGTTGTATTATAGATCTCACACGGCTTCTTATTTTTTTAAGATCCATCCACAGTGTCGTAAGATCCATTCGCATGGCTCTGTAGACATCCCATGTGTTACTGTTGACATCTGCAAAGTATTCTATGGAGCATAAGCACTGCCTTTTACCAAATTGTCTCCAACTTCCTCCCCCACAAACAAGGCATCAATTAACATTCTTATAAATGCATCCTTTTACAGAAGCATGTGAAAATTTCCTTGAGATTATATGCCCATAGGTAGAAAATTACTGGGTCAAAGATTTGGGTCAATATACTGGGTCAATATAACTAGATTGCTGTTCAGGACTTTTACCAGAAGTTCATAAGTCTTCACGTATTTCCATTTTACCACCAAACTTGGCTTTATCCAGCTGTCTGATTTTTGCCAATCTAGTATGTAGTGATAGTTCATTGTGGTTTCTTTTACATTACTAGTACTAATGAATTTGGGCATATCTTCATTTGCATGTTGACCTTGTGGAGTTTCTCTTCCCTAGAACGCCTAGTCATTCCCTTGCCAACTTCTCTCCTGAGACTGCCCTTTTCTCTTACCGATTAGCTAAGTTCTTCGGCTACTCTAGTTGTACAATGATAGATATTATCAGTCTAGTTTTACTCAATATAAATTTCTTCTACTCTGTCATCTCTCTCTGTATTCATAGCGTCCTATTTTTAAATAGAAACACTTATACACATGAACCTCTCTGTTTAATTTTATTGATCTCGTGGTCTCTTCTTGTACTTTAGTTTCCTTTATTATTTATTATAGTACATCTTTAAATGCTCAAAAATAGTCCTGTTGGAATTTTGATTGACTCTTACTGAATTTATAAATTACTTTAAGAAGGGTGGATATCATTCTACAATTAATTTGGTCCAACTAAGTAAGCACGGGCTAATTCTCCATCCTTTTTTTTTTTTTTTTTTTTGCAGTGTCTGGCCCGGGCTGGGTTTGAACCCACCACCTCCAGCATATGGGGCTGGCGCCCTACCCTTTTGAGCCACAGGCATTGCCCTAGTTCTCCATCTCTTCAGGTCATATTCCATCTTATTATTAGAGCTTTAAAATTTTCCTGATGAAAGTCTAGTATAGTCTTAGTTCACGTCATTCTCAATTATGTCATAATTTCTATCGACATTGTGAATGGTATCTTATTCTTTATAATATTGTTTGGTTTGTTATTAATGCTATAGAAAAACTCTAATATTTGTGAGTTTATCTTATCTCTAGCAACCTTGCTGAACTCTCTTGTTCACTCTAATAGTCTGTCTATGGATTGTGATGT